GATGGAGGGGTCGCCTCTCTTTATTCAGCCTTTGCTACTGGTGGAATCGTTTCCTTTACATAAACTTTCATTAATTTTCACTGAATCCAAATTACTATGCAAGAACATGCTTCAGAAAGGGGGTGACACCATGCTCTTGTTCCCCTCTCCCTGTCACTGCATCTTTGCCAGAGCTATTTGCTTCTTCAGCCAAAGGAAAATGTGGCACTAGAAATTAAATAAAAATGCAGGACTCTTATAAGAATACTTCCCCCTTGTGAACTGAATAAAATTAACTTCTTGGGGTGCACATAAAACCAGGGCCTATTTCCTGTCTCTAACTATACTTCACCTCCCCTCATTTTTCTCCCAGAGAGTGGTGGTCACCGTTTGATTAATTTTCTGACATCTCTGTAGTTAATGCACAGTTGTTTAAATGACTTTGATTCCAAATTAGTAAAAATTCCTAGAGCAATTAAATGCAGTGTTTCGTGTTCAAGGACTTCAGCTTTATTCTACCCTTTCCTTCCCTCACATCAGCCCAGCCTAAAGACCCTTGGTCAGAAGTACATGCAGGTGGGTCTTTTATAACCAGGCTCCTCTCTGGGGGGCCCAGCAACATCAGTATCCCTTCAGAACTGGGAATTGCACTGCCTAGGCCCACTCTAAATGTACCAGATCAGAATCTATGCTTGACCAGGTCCAGTCAATGCTCAAGTTTGAGAAGTACTGCTATATTGGCCGGGCATGGGGATCCCCAGACCACACAGAGAGGTGGCACGTGGGTCTCCAAGAGTGGAAAGAAGCAGTATCAAGTGGTAGTAGCCAACAGAAGCTACAGGGTCTTCCCTCCAAAGAGCTGCCAGATCTTTCTCACTGCCAATTGTGATCCACAGAATACGGTATTGTTCCAGAAGGAAGAAAGAGGATGTTTAACCACAGCAAAACCCCACAATATCAGCAGTCCTGTTTCAGATTGCAATAGAAGTGCACGGAGTTTCTGGCAGAAGGTTTTGTGTAAGAATAAGTTTCCTGTTCAGCCACACAGTGGATTGAAGTCTCATTTCAAAATGGCAGAGCTTCTTAGTTCCCTGTACCTGTCACCAAGTTACATAAGCGATTTTGGATTTTTGTTAGGATGAAGTTTCAATGTCAACCAAAAGAAAGAGAAGCATCTTTTCTTTTTTTCTCTCTTTCACCTGGGCTACTTCCACTGATTTTTTTTCTTTTAAAAATGTTTGAGGTAGATTTCTTCCCATACTGCAGGAAGCCCATAATCCAGCAGAGAAGTGTCTTGTGAAGGCAGAGTCCCCTGATAAGAGAGATGCAGTGATTTGCTCTTCCAGAGAGCTTATAGGAGAACCCACCCTCCCATCAGCGTACCCTGTCCTACACCAGCTGCCTCTTTACAAGCCCCCGGAGACTAGAGCAATTGGGCAAGTCTGTCTGTCCCCAAGACACAACCCTGGGATAATGATGATGGAGAACTTCAAGCAACTAACCCCTGGCCCTGCCTTCTTTAAATAAGAGGGACAAGTAACACTTGCAAGTACAAATTCTTGCATCTGAAATTTGGGGCCTCTGAACTCCAGAGGAGGTCCTCTATTTCTCATCCCAACTTTCCACGGGCCCATGTTTCTCTTACCAGAAAGGGGTCTCTCTCTGGGTTTCTCCAGCCCTTTCTTTTTCCCCTTGGCTGCACCCCCCTTTCCCCCCACTCCAGCCTGCGGGCCTCTGCTCTCCCACTCCCCAAATCGAACATGTACAGATTTTACGGTTCACTGGAGAATAAGTGGCTGTCATTTCACAGACGGGCCAGGATGTAATTAGCCACAATGCATTGGAGTAATGGAACAGATGTCTCTTTGTAAACTGAGTTTGCTGCGGAGCACCGCGTGCGTGTGACCTGCCGACTGCTCCCAGCAATCCACGGCCCCTCCCCCACCCACGGCCACCACCACCGCCTTTCTCTCCCTCTCGTGCTCTCTGGGTTCCCTGGCCGGGGCTCTCTGGCTTGACTGTGTGTTGACCGTTTTTGTTTCTCCTCTGCTTCTCTGGCTCACTTCTGCTGCAGAAAAGCTGCCAGAGCCACTGGGGAGGGGTGGGGGGAGTGAGGGGGCTGAACCCACAGTTATTGATGTAGTCGTTCACAACAGAAAAGGTGATACCCCTCTTATGAGATAATTGGCAGTTTCACATTGCACTTATTACAGGATGATAATACGCCCGCAAAATCATAAATTACTGTTATGCTCTCTGGCCTGTTGTTTTTCTTAACTAGAAATAAAAGAGATGTATCTCCCTTATTCTAAGGTTACTATTTAAAATTTAAGAAGAATCCATGCTGGTCCCAGAAGGGTGATATGCACGAATGTGAGACACTTATACGTAACTTCCAAAGAGCCTTTAAGATAATTTATTTACATAGATTACCTGCTCAGGTGGATCTCTGCTTTTCTGTGTATTTTATTTTAATATGAAGGTCAACCCTGGGGTGGAAGTGGTGGGGGTAAGTAATGACTTTGGCACATCCTAACTTTTGAGACTGAGAGTTTAGTGGGAAGATACCAGGTGAGGTTGCTGTTGGCAAATCAAAACCAGAGGAAAGAGTGAGAAACAGAAGGTCCATCTGCAGAAGAAAGAGGAAGGTCAGGAGAACAGAGAGAACAAAGGTTGTGGCTGCACTTGTTTTAGTTTCTCCTCCCGCCTAAAGGGAACAAGAAGCACAGACAATAAATACATCCACCTCCTCCCTCCAGCCTCCTGCACAGCAGAGGAAAACAATCCCTATTAAAATACAGGGGGTGGCAATCCCTGGCCTTTGTTCCTTAGGATATCATATTCGCTTTGATTGATTTTTTTTTTTTCCTCCTGGCCACAAGCTCAGAATCTCAGCCTTGGTCACCCAGGAGAAGGCAATTCCATGCTAAGACTGTACTCAAGATTGGGCGTGTATTTGGTACCTTTGACAAGAGAGAAATGGTCACTGGGATCAGCAAAGCCACACCCTCTTGGCCAAGGATAGAAAATGTTGCTACTAGCATGACTTTATCAATAAACAGGGAGCAGCCTATTTATCATGTGGGAAAACTGAGGGGAGTGTCTAAGGAAAGTTCTAACAGGGATCCCAGGTTTGAGTCTGAGACCTGGTGCCAGAGAAACTCAAAATGTTTGGTTGATTCTGATTTTGTATTTTAAGATTTTAGGTGTTAGTCAGTTTTCCCAAACACATCTGAGGACCTTCATTCGGGCTTTTAAAACTCATTAGACATTTAAAAACAGCAGTCTAATGCTAATTTCTACCCTGAGGATTTTTGATAAATAACAGGTAGAAATAGATCTCTGGTGTATGAAATTGATACTTACCCTGGTTTAGCCACAAGTAATCGGAAACCTCCTTGCCATGAGCTCATCGATTGTCCTTGCTTATGAAAGTTGAAACCTCCCTATTCTCTGAGGGGTTTGGGTGGCCCTGACTCTGCCATTGGTACACATTTGAAAGAGAAATCATCTCTTCTTTTTTTGCCTATCTCCCTACAGCCCAACAGCCAGAACGAGGAGTACCTGAGGGACTCCACACACTCTGTCAACCTGGCTTTTGTTGTTTTGGTTTCATATGGCAAAGGAATCCTTCTATCCTCGAGGTACTTTATAAGCTCAATATTAGCATAACTATTTCTGCATCATTTCTGCTTCCTAATGAATGCCAAATTGGGCTCGGACGATCAACGATTGTTGATCCATGGGGTGGTGTTGCACATTTTCTCCTGGAAAGGACAGACCATAGGAGGAACATGTTTTACTTTTTGATCCACCTCCAAAACTGACCAACTGTGCAAAAAATATTTGTATTTTAACACAAACTAGACACCAACCAATGGGACCATTGGTTTACTTTGAGATTAGAGATTCCGGATACAGCCAGGATCTACTGACATTTTAGAGAATAGAGGGGTTGAAAGGACTGTCAAGGTCATCTATGCGAAACTCTGGCCAAAGTCAGGAATCTTCTCCTGAACTCTCCGGGAGTCCTTGCTTGTCCTCACTCGTACTTTTTGGATATGGAGTGATTTCAAAGTCCTTCCTCACATTCAGTCCTTCCTCACTCTCCACCTTGGTCCTATGTTGTAACACGGGGTAAATCTTTTTCACATGCAATCTCCAGAGGGCCAAGCAATGCCTTTGTATTTCTCATCTCCTCTCCAACTCAGACACTGCCAGCTCCTTCCAGTCCCTTCAAGTAGGCCTGATTACCTGACCCATTGTCACAGAGACTGTCCTCTCTCTGACATGCTCAGAACAACTGACACCTTTTTTATGAGATTTTTAGATCCATATATAAAATTCCAAATGTCACTAAATGTCAGAGTTCACTAACAATTATCACATTTTTTTTGACTTCAGCCTAACAGTGCTTGAATCAATTACAGATCTCACATCTTTTAACATAAAACACATATAGACAAGATTTTTCTAGCACAGAACAGAGTAGTTAGTGTTTATGAAGCTGTGTATTCAGGCTTTAATATTTATCTTTGCTGGTCTGGTAAGATATTTTTTTTTCTTGTAATTGTCATTCTTCCTGGTTGCGATGCCGGTATACAAACGGCTAACACAGATGAAGAACGGCATCCATTCAGAGCCGTCCACTACTGCCCAGTAGAATCCATTCTCCTTGGTTTGTCACAAGACTTCATCATTGTTCCCTGTCATGCCCTGGCCCTACCTCTTATTCTCCGGGGTCTACCTCAGCACTTGCTCCAACATAGGTTCTTCATGTCTTCACACAGGCTGTTTCTCTGCGTGGAAGCCTCCAGCAACACTTGATCTAATTCATAAACTTCTACTCCTCCTTTAAGACTTAACTCAAGAGCCACAGGGAGACAAGGAGGCTGCCCAGCAAAGGGTTTCCACCTTGCGTCCAAAGTGTGGGGCCAACAACAGTCCATGAGCATCTTTGTTCTGCTTATTTTTCACATTAAGTAAAGGCCATTGATTCTTTACAATAAAAAAAATAATAATTGCAAACAAACACAAACAATCGTCACTTCTAGAAAGCCCTCCCTGGCCCACTTGCAGCCCAGTCTTTGAAGCGCTGGTCCACGGCGCCATTGATCATTTATCCTGTTCTCTTCAGCTGTTTGTTCTTGGTCAGGCCTCACTAGCCTTTCAGCTCTTTGATGGCCTGGGCCTTTTTATTCCCTCGGGTTTCACAGTTTAGGACAAACCTTTGTGTTACGATGGGAGTCTCTGTGTGCATGACATCTGTCCAGGTCTACAAGGGCACAGCTTCCCTGCGCAAAGGGATCCCAAGGAAGTACCAACAAATGCTTTGCTCAAGTCAAGACACCCTGACCCGTTAGTGTAGTAAGACGGTTAAAAAAGAGAAGTGAGCTTTGGTGAGTTGTTCGTTGTTTTGTTTCTTCCTTCTAAGAAGCTCAGGACAAATCGTGACAACCTGACATCCAGGCTGCCTGACCATGCTGAATATCACTTCACTGACTATTACAAATGCTATTATGGCTCTATCCTAAGCCATATTATAATTGGTTTTTTTTCCCCTAAATGTTAATGGGTTTATGATTAACTATAATTGTATATAGGAATCCACATCAAGGACTAATTATAGGTACTTATTCACTCACCTTTTAAATCCCTACTATGTGCAAACGTGTCAGACAAATAACATCTTGACAACGCTGTAATGACTCCAAGTATAATTAGCAAACAAGATGATGCTGAATTGTTCAATTACATGCTCACTTTTTCAAGAGTTGACATACCACCACTGTATTTATCATCAATTAAATTTCCCTATATTAGTTACTTGCAGTAATTTTGGAGGCAATCACCTCAGCTCAAATTGCCATAGCAAACCACATAATCTTACCAAATAGAATTATTTCCAACAGTCATCGTTCCTCATCAATTCTTTATTAAAGACTCATTTCTCAAACCACTTTAAATTGTGGCTTAGAGTAAGTCATTTATAACCACATTTTGGAAATAGGCACATTACATTTCCATTTCACAAATATGTTTTATTAGTAATGAGTAGTAAGTATTCGATTACTATTAGTATTCTCATCATAGGTTGGAAAATGCTTAATTAACAAAGATATTGGATTGGAAAAAAAATGACTCTGGGCATATTTCTTCTTGACCAAATTGCTTTTTTCCCCCTGATAGTCTTTTGTAATTTTTAATTGCATTCACCTATCCCAGAGAGTATATTTCCCAGGGTCTGTGGAGGGAGGCGGAAGCCCTATAGAAGTGAAACACTGTCAGGATCTTCCAGACTCTGAACCCAGTTAGGTGGAAAGCCCTTTGTAGAAACCACCAGTGCCAGAGTCTTCCCATTGCACAGAACAGAGCAACTAGATTTCTATTATGGTGGATCCCCTTAAACTGACATTTGTAATCCACAGCCACTGTTTCTGCTACCCTTTGGGGATGGTTTTGGTTTTTTATTTTTTGTTTTTTGCATACAGCTTCTTATTTTCCTCTCTCTGACTCAGCCTCACTTTCCAGAACATCAGTAAAAGCCACAGAGAGGGTCACTATGTCAGGAAAGTCACCGAGATGTCCCTGCCCAAACTGTCCCTGGTGGGGATTCTGACCTTGGGCTCCTCTTGAGCCAGCATCTTTTCCTGGTTGTCATTTGGTTTGGCTGGAGCATTCGGGTGGCTTGTTGTCCTGTCTCTTCCTGGAGCCGTGGTTTTACTCCAGGTGCAGGGCTGCCTTGGCCTCTTACCTCATGTGTGGTGTTGTTCTTTCCATTCTTCTGCATTGTTACTTTGCCAAGGGCCAGGGCTCTCCTTGCCACAGTAGCATCTGCTTCTGCTGGGGTCAGCTATGTGCTCTCTGAGGTCACAGATTGATGGCTGCACTTATGGATGCTCTGCGCACACAGAAGAGCATGGGCTTGTGTTTTAGCCTAAATGACGGAGTTGTGGACAGCCCCAGTCTGGAGTGGCTCGCTGGTTCCCTAACAGCAGGCAATTAGCTTGCCTCTGGAGCCTCCCCGCAGCAGTTCTTACGCAGATAGTTATCTGAGTGAACAGGAAGAACATTAGAAGCATGTGAGAGACAGGTGACTCTTCCTCCACAATGATTGCCCACGATTGTGTCCTAATTGCTGACGTCACTAGCCTAGCTACACTTAATATTTGGCTCGGGTGTCTTTCCCAATGTCCCTAGACATGGGATTCATGTTCATAAAAGCTGCTAATACAGCCCTTCCGCTCACCTGGCGGGTGAATAATGCGCACATCCGTAAGGTAAGCACTCTTATGAACATGTCCTTCAAGATTCTGAATGGGTTCTGGGAGAGAGAATGACCCTGGCTGACACCCCTCTTGGCAGACACAAGAGATCCAGGGCACTTCTGCCTTCCAGAGTGGAGGAGGGCTTTGACACAGGAGGCCACAGGGGAAGGCCAGACAGGGGGGTGGCTCCAAGTGGCTGCTGGGGAAGGCTGTTGGTCACAAAAACTGCACAGTGCTCTTCTTGGGTGGGAAAGAAATGGCTTCCCGTCAAGTGAGTGCCTGCCTCTTTGAATCAGAGCCCTGCACTACCCAGTGAAGAGACCAGCCCCGCTCAGCCAGGAAGATCTGTGGCAGATGCCCCCTTCTTCCCGCAGGGCTCCCCGTGGAAAAGCTGGCAAGGGACCCAGAGCTGCTCCCTCAGTGCTATCTCCACCCTGGGTTACAAATGAGGATTGATGTTATGCTGGGAAACCGTAATGGCCTGATCACAGCCATCATTCTAGAACAGCCTCTCTGCTCCCTTCACATCTGACTGGTTATCTATTGTTCCTCGTTGCCAGTTTGTTTGAAGCTCTCTGCAGCATTTGCAGGTGTAAAAGAACTTGCAACTTCTTCCCGGCTCTCTTCCTTGAAGTCATTGTCTATATTTAGGTCAGTGACGTGATGTGATGAGAGATGTTGATAAGTTTCCGTGCCTCACCCTGAAAATTGCTTCTCGGGATACGGGGAAATGGAGAGACTCTAATGGCACCGCCTCATGCCACCGGGGCTGTGCAGCTTATGTGGCTGTGGCTTCCAGCTTATGCCGCCAGCGGGGTGGGACCAGCCCTGAGCCACCTGCCAACACGCTGCACACAGTGTCACAGGAATCTCACTCTGGCCTCCCAGAGCCGCCGTGTGGTAGAGGAAACTGATAAAAAGGTGAGAGGGAGGGTTAGGAAGTTGCTCTCTCCTTTACCTGGAGTCCAGAGCCCGCACTCTGCCCCTTCAAGTAGAAAATGTGGCCCTGATGAATCCTGCCCACAAAGGAACTGCGCCTTTTTAACATGCAAATGTTCAGTCAGGGAAAGGAAATAGACACCTCCTCCTTCAGGGACTAGGAGACAATCACAGCCACCCCCGCCCCACCCCCAATCCCATTTTCCTTCCCTCTTCCCATTCTAAGAGAAAGAAATTCTGATTTCCCCCATTCTTTTTTTTTTTTAAGGGAGGGAGGGGTTTGCACAGAATTGTTCTTAAACCACTGTCTTCTACCCCACTTCCTCCCGTCTGGATAGGCTTCATTAATTTGATAAGCCGACACCAAAAGCTAGGGGTGGCGGTGGGAGGGGGCTGGGCGATTGCAGGGGGGCTGCCTAGGGGCTGCCCGGAGGTTTCAGAAGATGAACCGCTAATGATGTTGAAGATGTACCTTTTCAGACTGCGTGGTCCCTCTGGAAAAATCAGGGTCCTTTTTCACTTGTTCCGATTGTACTGCAAGAACTGAAAAAGAGAGGCCTGGTCGGGACGGAGGGGGGTACCGGGCGGGGGTGGTAAGTAGGCAGATGCGTCTCCAAGGAGGAATAGAAGCCGTCAGTTCCACAGCTTGAACGGGGCCTTTTCTTTAACAGGGTATCTGATATTGTCATGCTGAAGAGTCGGAAACTAATGGGGGGAAATACATTCATTTGCTAGGTCAATTATTGAACATTCTTGCCTGATACTTACAAACTAGTGAAATTACTGCAAATTGACAATATGAATATTTTGATCAACATCTGTGACCCTTGAATTCAAACCGGGTGGGATGCAAACCACAGGGCTGTGATATCTCAGACACAAGGATCTTTGCTAGCTCTCTCCCATCTCCTAGCATGATGGAAGCAGATTAGACCCAAGGCAACCATCTGTATAATTTGCCCAAGACAGTCTGTCCCAGTTTATGCCATTTGTCCTGGTTTGGGTGGAAAATTATGTATTTGCCCTCATTATACCTCTCAGCAACTAGGAGAAGATGAGAGATCCCCAGTTTCAGCGTGATTTTATTTTTATTCTCTGTTCTCTTGCATACCTTCGAGACTATTCTCAAACATACACAAATGTGCAAGGCATTCTGAGGATAGAAAGGCATCTGAGGTAGGATTTTCCCTGATCATACTTAGTGGCAATAGAAGGATTTTAAAACAGTGTCAAAATTTTTTTGACTATTCTTGAATCACAGAACAAGATCATATACTGGTCTGTTTGGCTTCTGAAATAAATACCAAGGTGGGCTGGGGGGCCAATGGCCATCATTAGTTAAGTAAAAACAACCCAGTCTACTGACCTCTGGAATTTCTGCTTCACTAAGTATTTCACTTCCTCCTCAATTTTACCAAGTGACAGTGATTGCTCGGCAGTGTCAGAACCAGCCCTGCTGTGGACAGGGGGAGCGTGGTGAGTCTGAGGAGTGGGAGGTGAGGGCAAATGCTTCCAAAAGAGGAGGCAAGTTTGGACCTGTGGACTCATCAGTTACTCAACAGGAATATGAATTAGAGTGGCTGATAAATGTTCATTCACTAAACAAACACTGCGTACCTGTTGTGTGCCAGCCACTGAGGTAGGTGCTTAACATGTATCAATGGATAAACAAGGTAGACCCCTGGCTGGCCTTGTACAGCTTACATTCTAGACATTAAACATAATAACTAAGCATAAATTGTATAGCATGCAAGATGCCGTAAGTGCGATGGGAAAAGGGGTGCAGGAAGGTGAAGAGGGCAGCCATTATCGAGGCCACCTGGGAATTCTGCCTTCCACCCAGAACAGGGCACATACGCAAACCCCCAGGGTGTGGACACACAGAGGCCCCAGACCCACGAGGAGAGTGACTGGGAAGCAGCCACAGTTCATTCTTTCTGTTGTACCAGCCGTGGCTGCCACAGCCAGTGGTACTCAGTGCGTTTCCATTTGCCTTAACAACAAAAAGGGCTAAAATCCTGTGTGAACTTTAGAAACCTCTGGTCCCAAATAGATGGTTTGTTTCTGGTTATTCTCTGATTCCAAGTACTCCCCAAATATTGAAGTTCCATAGGCAATTGTGAGCATGGAATTAATTTTCAAAACTAACTACTTCCTGCATGCCTACAATTCACATGGTGCTGTGATGAGGCCCTCTACCTCACTTAATCCCAACTCATCTTTTGAACAGAGCCATTATTGTCCACATTGCATAAATCAGGAAAATGAGCCTGGCTCACAGTTATCTCCCTACCAAGCTACAAGCATCAGGCTTTGAACTCAGGGTTCCAATTCCCAGGCCAAGTTCCCTGACTCTCCTCCTCTCCGCCTCCTCTCTTCTCCTGGGCAGCCTGTGGTAGAATGACAAATCTTGCCACCAGACCCTTCTTAACTCAGATTAGCTTGTGACCTGGTACATATGTTTCACAACCATTGCAATAAATAGTTCATCTAATTAAACTGAAACCTGGTGATCAGCTCCATACATGCAGACAAAATACTCCATTCTTGTAAGAAGGGAACAGCAGATTTGCTTTGGTAATAGAATTTGCTGCTTCCAATCAATTGGACTATGAGGTTTCTCATAGGAACATCAAAGTTCCTATGGACCTCCCAACACCAGCTTCCATATAAGAAACAAGCATGGAACAGTTCAGCAGTATAAAAAGGTCCTCCGAGTACTCCTACCCCTTGACCTAGTGAGTCTGCTGGAAAAAAAAATTATCCTAAGAACATGATCATAGATATAATTTTTTGAAAAGTATCTATAAGGATGTTCACTCTAGAATTATGAATAGTAGTGAAAAACTGGGAGGGAAAAAACTTACATGACCAAAAGTAGAAGATTTGTTAAATAATTTATGATATACTCATCTACTATTAAAGTATTTTAGTAGAGTATTAATAACATGGGATCTGTGATATAATAAGTGACAAAAGGTGGAATATAAAATTACCTACAATCCCATTATTTTTTCCTCCTTTTTTATTTTCAAGAGCAAAGAAAATTACATTTATTTGGGGCTAATTAGGATTGCAATCTAGAAAAACACAGATTCAAATGACCTTGAAAAAGTACTCCTAATCCTAATATTTTTAAAAAAGCAAGAATATAAACAACTTGAGACTGGATTTTTGGTTTTGTGAGATGGAAAATAAGCACTTGCTCCCATAAATGAATTTGGAGTAAAAATTTTAAGAACTTAGAGGAAAATTTAGCAATGGAGACTTTTTTCTCATCAAAGTTCCTAATGAAATCATGGGATAGCTGAATATCTAACTTCGAACTACTTTATATTTCTTTTCTTTTCCTTTACCTTAAAACATATTTTACCAAGTTATAGTCTGATATACACTGATAGTTTTGTAGTTTCATGTCCCTTCAAAAGAAAAGCAGGGGTATTTATATAATTTGTGCAACAGTTACTTCATTGCCAAAATGTGGAAGCAAGTGGATGGATTGACGGACAGAGTCTGACCCCATCAGGAAAATGGCACATGGGGATTGGCAGAGCCAACATGGAGACACACCTCTGCCATCCTTCCTTATTGTGATCATGTGAATAAATGAGGTAACTTCTTTGTACTGGAGTAAGATATGGAAAGGCAGCAGCTAGAGTATTTGAGTGCTGAACTCAGCACCACTGACTGCCTGAGAAAGTCCAGGTCATCAAAATATTATCTTAATACTACAGGAATGAGTATATTCTCCAACACAGGCTGTACGTGAGAATTATATATGTCCTGGAAGGACTTTTTTTTTTTAACTGGGTATTACTTTACCACTGAGCTACATCCATAGACCTTCCTATTTTAATTTTGGGAAAGGGTCTCACTAAGTTGGTAAAGATCTTGCTAAACTGCCACGGCTGGCCTTGAACTTCCCTCCTCCTGCCTCAGCCTCCCAAGTCGCTGGAATCACAGGTGTGAATCATTGCATCCAGCCTGGAAGGAACTTCAGATTTAAAGTGTAAAATGTCAACGCTCAGGGTCAGATGAAAAAAAAAAAAAGGTCTTTAAACCTGAATAGGATTAGATTGGAGAGAAATCTGAGTCAAGCATTTTTAAGAAAGCTATCTAATTACACCTGAGTGTTTTTCTAATCTTGTTTTCATAATCATATCTCTGAGAATACTTGGGTGTTTAAAAAATAGCATTCTAAGTACCCATGACCGCTTTCCTGGTGGCAGAATAGTCCAATTGGAAGAAAATAGACCACAAGAAGTAAAATCCCAGCTTAGGGGTAGCCTTGCCCACCTGGCCACTCAGATGACTGTACACATCACAACCCATCTTCCCTGAGCCAAACCTGAGGACAAACATGACCTATTGAGGAACTTCATACAGAGGATACAGCCAAAACCACACGACCAGCTAGTATTTTGAGTTTGTGCTACATTTTAGTGCTGCACTAGGTTCCTTCTGCATAAGATCCATCAAGAAGTGAGCTACACAGCAGGTGCTATATTTTTCCTAACAGTTTCTCTGCTTTCAACAAATTTTCTCCACCTATCGTAGGTAGTTAACAGTGTTTGGTGGTTCCCCTATTTTAGGGAACCTCTTTGAGAGGGGATGGGCTTTTTCTAAATAAAATAATCATGCATGAGAAGGGATGGTGATATGTACCTAGCCAGAGAACTTCATGGAAGAATTTCTCTGCTTAACAATTATTTACGAGCATACACTATATGCCAGGTACTTGGTAAACACTGGGGACAGAAAACAGACGTCCCTAACCTCATGCCCATGAGTCTAACTGCAGAGACCAGAGTTAATGAAATAATTATACAGATGTATAATTACAGCCCTTAATTAGAGCAGTATCATGAAGGAAATACACAGACGGCTATAAACTTGTGTAACCTCACCAAGGGAGTGACCTGCACGGAAGGCTTCTCAGAGACCCAGAAAACCTGTAGAAGGTGCCAAGGGCAGCGATTCTCAGAGTGTAGTTCCAGGACCAGTAGCATCAACAAACAGCACCTGGGGACTTGTTAGAAGTCTAAATGGTGGGGTCCCTCCTCAGATCTACTAACTCAGAAACTCTGGGCTGGTTCCTGCCATGGAAGTTGGTTGATTAGTTGGTTTTTGTACGTCTGAGAAATTTTATTCACCTGCACGTCTCTTTTCTTCTTTTTTTTTAAACATTTTTATTTTAACTGACACATAGTAATTGTACATATTTATGGGGTGCAGTGTGACATTTCAATACATATATATACAATAATGATCAGATCAGGGTAATAGGCCTATCACCTCAGACTTATACCTTTGTGCTGGCAACTTTCAAAATCTTTCTACTACCTATCTTGAAATTTTCAAATAAATATGGTGCACCACAGTTATCCTACTGTGCTGTAGAATGTTAGAAGTCATTCCTCCTACATCGTCAACCTGTACCCATGATCCATCCTCTCTCCACCCCCCCTCCCCACACCTTCCCAGGTTGTCAGAGCACTGTTCTGCTGTCTACCTCTTTGAGATCAACTTTTTACCTTCCACGTATAAGTGAGAACATGAGGTTTCTGTCTTTCTGTGCCTGACTTATTTCACTTAACATAACGTCTTCTAGTTCTATCTGCGTTACAGCAGATGACAGAATTTTATTTGTTTTTATGGTCGAATAATAGTCCATTGTGCATTGTGGGTTTCAATAAGCCCTCTAGGCGATTGTGATGGACCCTGAAGTTCGAGAGCCACTGTATCAGCAGATGAGGTGGGGCAGGGGCTGAGATGAGCCAGAAGAAATAGTGCAGTGAAGCCCCAAGGCTGGAAGGGACACAGCATGGGGCGGGGGCTGCCAGGTCAAGGCAGAGGACCCAAAGAAAGTGGTGTGTGGCCAGGCTAGAAGCCGCTGGAGGCAGAGGGCTTCAGGGCCTGTGGTAAGGATCCTGCCCACTGTCCTAAGAATGGGAGAAAGCTACTGGAGAGTTATGATCAGGAGTGTGAGAGGATCATATTTGCATTTTCAAAGCTTCCTCTGACCACAAAACTATGGAGGGCAGTGGACATGGAAAGACTTATTGGAAATGACTTCAGTTCTTCAGTTTAATAACTGATAGAACGGAATAATAGGATATGGAGACAGAAGAAAGTGAATGAAGTTCAACTAATCCCAATATTAAGGAGGTGGGGCCTCAGGGAGAGGTGATACTTTGAAGTGGGGACTGAGGGAAAGGGATGTGGCAGGACAGAGCCCAGGTTTCCAACTTGTAAACCTAGATTGAGGGTGATAGTCCCAGACACTGAGAGACAGAGGGTGGAGATCATGCATTTTATTTGGATCATACAGAATTTAAGATCCCCTGGAGCTATGAACTAGACCTTGGTAGAAATTGCATGAGTGAAAACGAAGGAAAAAATTATTCTCAAAGAGAGATACAGTGACCATATGAGCCAAAGGATGGAGATAGAAATGAGTTTTTGACATGCATCTGCCTCTTTTATTATTCATTCATTCATTCATTCTACCTATTATGTCCTTCCAAGAACATGGAAGGACATTGGAAGGTTAGAAGAAGATTAATAGGAGGGATGAGGAGCAGGTATGGCAGATACTGAAATCCAAGCTAAGGAGGTTGGGTCACCATGGAACATCATGGCAGAGGGATGCCTCAGAAAGATTAACCAGCAGGGAGATACACAAGTAAGAAACTCAAGGGGAAAGTTTGTTATAGGAATTCTAAGGAAGCTTGGGAATGCCTGATTCCTTCTCACAGACCACAAGCAAGTTCACATGCATTCATTCATTATATCCCATCCATGTGGCTCTATATTCTTAACCTCTAAGCCATATAGTTTGGGAATAAGAAAAGATAAGCTTTGAGTGTATGAAAACAAGGTCTTTTTTTCCTGCTTTCAGCTTTCCAAGGCAGAAGCTGGGTATTTTAATTGGAAGGGGAAGGCCTACACGTGGTGGGAACTGGGGAAGATGTATTCAATCGAATTGAGCCAACACCAGTGGCGTCCTGGTCCTGAGAGAAGGTGCCACAACACTGGAGTCCCGGAGAAAGGGGCGGGCAGTGGGGCCCTTGCATGAGAAATAGGACCCGGTGACCCCCATCTGTTCCTCCTCCTCTCCCTCCCTCCCCCACCGCTGCCATGGCGACATGTCTGGAATCACAGTAAGCCTTATGCCCCAGAGAGAACAATACTCTGTTTGAACCTTGTGAGTTGGCCTCTAAGCTCCTGCTCTGCAGCCCCATCCCCCACAACCGGGATTCTTACAAAAGGCAGCTTTTTACCGGAGGGTCAGGGCGCTGCTGCTCATCGATTTGAGCCCCTTCATCGCTCCTCGGCACTTTCCTCTTGTTGGTTTTTGAACCACGCCGCAGCCTCGACGCTGTGGGTCTGTTTTGGCGTGAAGCTACTGATGTAGCCATGCGCGGCCCCTCTGCACGGGCCCCAAGGAGCATCCAGCTCTTTTCTTTTTTCTGTCGTCTTGTCATGCGGTTGACTCACCAGCAGGCTGGGGCTGCCTGGGCTCCACTGAATTAGTAACAATGCAATCAACATCTCTATTTTTATCTCTGCTCCCCCCCTCCCCAATGACTCACCATTTCTAGGTCTCAGAGCTTGGCCGCCTGCACAGAATTATATTGGGGCTGGGGGTGAATCTACGCACAGATGCGATATTTCTTCCATTCAATGCAACGAGTGTTTTCCTTTCTCCTGGTGCACGAGGGTTCAAGCGTTAGAAGTATTATTTACTATGCTCATCGTCATCCTTATTGTTGCAGTGTTACTGTGCAAGCTGCTGTTATCTCCTGAGGTCGAAGATGAATTGCAGGCAAGGGAGGGAGCCTGGATCTGATTGCCAAAACTCATCTTCAGAGAAAACTTGAGTTCGACGCTGAAACTTTTTAACTTCATCCCAGTTGAATTCTAGAAACCCGACCTGGAGTTTAGATAAAGCTAATACCAAACACAATGTTACCTATTAAAAAAAAAAATGCCCCACTGATGCAAGATATCTTCTGCCTAGGTCTCCGAATGCTGTTAATTATATTAAATTTATAATTTATAGAGTCTGATATGTTAAGAGCCTTGGTTTTGAATTCCACTTGGCCACTTATTTCCTGTATTCTTCGAGTAATTAATTTCCTTGTGTCTTAATTTTTTTTCTTTTATAAAATGGAGACTTTAATGTCTCATACATATATCATCATCGGATTGTTTTGAGCACTAAAAAAGCTAGTATTCATAAAGAGCTTAAAACAGGGTCTCACATATGATAAGCGGTCAGTAAGTGTAGGCTGTTTTCATACAACAGACATATCTACCTGTTTAAAGAAAAATGATTCAATCCTCAAAAAGAGTTTCCTCTAACAACACCATACACTCAGGATCCCACCTTTCCTCACTTCCCAATTGACAAGCCATCCATTCTGTGGAGACGGCGTGGACACTAACCTACAGAACAGGCCTGTTTGTCTCTTATTCCGAAGTGGAGCCTTCTAGCTTCCCAGTCTGCCTTTCCCACAGCCAAATTTACAGTCTCATTTCATCAAAATTAGGTTTTTGGCTCTCATGTACTCTAAATCCAAGCACACTTACCTCTCCTCCAGATAATTATATTTTACATTCGGAGACTTTTCCTTGGCTTATCTGACGCTTCCTCATTAGACTCTAAACCCTAACAATACCTTTTCATTTCTATAGTACGCCATGGTAATAGCATGTAAAATTCTCTGTAGAAGTTTTCCTTTGTCTTCATCACCCAGATCTCTCATCACTTCAGTTCCTGCCCGCTTTACTAAATGAAGGAATGTCATTTGCTGGACGATTCTGGAGAGAGTCCAGAGTGGGAAGTCACAGGACTGAGATGTTAAGTGGGATTCAGAAAACTCTCGGACACCCTATGAGCCTAGAAACTGTTAGGGGTTTGCACCCACCTTTCAGCCAGCAGAGGCATACAGAAACGTTATCTGAACCACATGGTTCATTGCAATTTGGTCCTGTCTACCCAGAAGCCACATATCAAGACCAGACAAATGTGGGCACAGATTCACTAGGAGCAACACTAGCAGTTTGGAAGTTCTTTCTCCATGTGGGAAATGCTCACAGCATGGCTGCCAAAGCCTGAGGGATTAGTCACACCCACCTGCCTTCATCCTGAGTAGGTGTTCAAGGGAATTCATTGGCTCTTTTGTTCTTCGGTCAGTATCTTAAGCAACAGTTAGGTATGAGTTCTGCAAAGTGTATATGATGAAAAGTATCAGCACTGCCCCAACCCTTCCCCATCACAGTTTCTTTTTTCTTTTATTAATTGATTTTATTTTTTTAAAAAAATGACAGCAGAATGCATTACAATTCTTATTACACATATGGAGCACAATTTTTCATATCTTTGTATATAAAGTATGTTCCCCATCACAGTTTCTTTTCCCCAAATCTTTGAAGTGTTTCAGCCACTTCTTCTGATATGAACCTCTGTCTTCCTAAATAGCGTGTTCCCCCAGTTGTCTCTTGATTATTGTGTTTTTGAAATTACCTATTGACTCCCGACCATAAAAATAGGGATTTACCCATCATCCTTCCACCTCTCAAACCCACTTCCTCACCTTTCATCTTACCAATTATTGTTATATCACAACTTTGGACGAGATTAGTATTTAATGTGTGTGTCTGTGTGTATTACGTCTAGATAAATACTATTCACAGCTGAACCAAATGGTCGATTTCGATGACATTGCTCTTGCATACGACTTCAGCTTTCCTGCAAGTATCGGTTGCATTTCTTGTTCGGTCTCCTCTGCTCCTATCCTGAAATCATTCACAGACTCCTCATCAGAATGAACATCATTCTCAATTCATATGGAACATGAGTTAATCAAACCAGTTCTTTTTCTTCATGAAGTCCCCCAACCTGGTCCCTTCTGTGGTGCCAAGACTGCCGCAGACCTGGCATCCAGAGCCTTTGTTGTACTAGAGTCAACGCTGGATCTCTTGTTTGTGGATTCCAAGTGTTCCCCAGCTTGGTTTAGTTCCCATTTTAAGTGAAGTGTATATTCTGCTCACTTCCTAAGAAGAGTACTTGCGAGGTAGATTTTTGCGGACTTTTATATGTGAAAAGAGATTCATTCTCTCTCACATCAGGCTGGATATAGAATGGCAGGCTGTAAATAGCTTTCAGCAGGAATACTGAAGCACTTCATGCCATCTCATCCGGCCTCCAGGGTTGCTGTCCAAAGTGCACAGCCACTCTAATTTCTTGGCAGATGTTCAGGATCTCTTTTGTATTCTTGATTTTATGAAATTTTACAGTGAGGTACTCTGGTGTGGCCCTCTTTGCATTCATCAGTCAGAAAATTTTCTAGACCTTTTCAATCGGGAGGGTCTTGTCCTTTGGTCCTGGGAAATTTTCTTGTACGATGTCATTGATAATTTAATGATTTCCTCCACTGTTTTCTCTTCTTACTTTGTGGAACTCCTACTATGTAGATATTGTACCTTTTGAACTGATTCCCTATTTGGTTATCATTTTCTTTTCTTTTTTCCATCTCTTTGAGTTTCATTCTACCTTTTGAAATATTTCTGAACCTTCCCTTCCCACTCTCTAGTTTGTTGTTGTTCCTACTGTTATATTTTTAATTTAAAAAGCTTTGTTTCAGTGCTGGGGTTGTGGCTCAGTGGCAGAGCACTTGCCTTGCACGTGTGAGGCACTGGATTCGATCCTCAGCACCACATAAAAATAAATAAATAAACAAAAAACGGATAATGTATACCTCTATAATTAAAAATTATTTTTAAAAAGTTTGTTTATTTTAAATGTTTAACATCCTATTCTTAATTCATAGGTTGACTTTTTCTTTACTCTTTTTGAAAATATTTTATCGATTTTTTTTTTCAAATATTCTTCTGTTGCCTATATTTTCTCTACTTTCTCTTTTCCATTTGTTTATTGGACTCTGCATTTTGGGTTAGAGACTTTCCTCAAATGTGCTGTGATTTCTCTCTCTCTCTCTCTTTTTTTTCCCCTGGTACCAGGGGATTGAAATCAAAGGCACTTAACCACCAAGCCACATCCCCAGCCCCCCCTTTTTTTTTTCTTTTGAGACAGGCTCTTGTTAAGTTACTTAGGGCCCCAGTAAATTGTTGAGGCTGGCTTTGAATTTGTGATCCTCCTCCTGCCTCAGCCTCCTGAGCCACTGGGATTACAAGCATGTGCCACCAGGCCCAGCTGTGTTATGATTTTTGCCTAGACACTTGTAGTCAGAGTAAGGCATTAACAATCTAGCTGTGTACATGTGAGGACTCTCAAGTGGTGATCATTAGCTTAGAAGCCATGGGGAATCCAAGATCTATTAGTCATGTCTCGTGGGCTGGTTAATTTCCCAGAGGTATCTGCCAGTCTTCTGTCTAGGAGCCATGACTCTGTCTGCCAGAGTTCTTGAAGCCAAGTGGCAGAGAGGTTTTGGCTGAATAAAGTTATCTCACCACTGAGTTGTAGATTTTCACTTAATTGTCATTTACAGTTCAATACCCCCACCTTCCACTGTGCTTTATGTCCCTATGACAAATCTGTTTCCACGCTTTCATGGAGTAAACCACAGACTTTTCAAGTTGGAGGAGAAATGTTGGTTGAGTATCCCTTATCCAAAATACTAGAAGTATTTCAGTTTTTTTCCAAAGGTTGGAATATTTGCTTATATATAATGAGATATCTTGGGGGTGAGATCCAAATCTAAACAGGAATGGATTATGTTTCACATGCACCTTATATACATAGCCTGAAGGTGATTTTATACAACATGTTTAATGCACCTGTTTTGACTGAGACTTGGCCCATGAGTCAAGTGTGAATTTTCCACTTGGGGTATCTCGTCGGCACCCATAAGGTTTTGAATGTTGGACCATTTTGGGATTCAGACCTTTGGACTAGGGCCACTCAACCTGTAGTTGCGTGATGATGTGTGTCACTCCATCACAGGATGGAGACAAAGGTGTTAGAGTCTAAAACTTTATCTTACACAGATGTTCAGTCAGTCATCCTGTTTTTAGCCACATAGACATCCCCATCATCAGAGGTGCTCCGTGTCTCTGACTCCTGGGCTTTTTGAGGTTTTTAACTTGCACTGGGTTACTTCGGTTTTCCTCCCATTGAAACTCTGGATTTTAGCTGTTCTTCCTCTGCTAAATGAGTTCCTACTCATTCATCTGCTTTCTGATTTCCAAAATTATGTTGGCATCTCATATCTCCTTTTGCCTACTTTTTTTTTTATTCTGCATGGAGTTTTGTTTTATACAATTTTCTATCTCTCCCCCCCCCACACCTTGGTCATTTTTGTGGAGTATGAGTAGGTAAGGCAGAAAAGAAATGGAGATAAGCATGTAGTCAACTTGCCACATTTAGCTGCAATGTATGAATGGACCCTTTTTTCTAAGGAATGCCCCATTTCTATATGCAGCAAAATAAAACTGAGTTACTTGGCAAGTTCCTCATCTGGGAATGTTTCCTCTTGGGTTGCCATGTTGGTGTGGGTCTGCATGAGAATTCCTTAAAGAATATGCAGTGTGATCTAGAGCTATCCCAGGATCAGGAGTCAGATGTTCTGGTTCAGCAGCAAGGAGTCTAAAATTCACACATGATCAAAGCCAAACAATTTGCTGGGTCTGGCACTGAGATCTGTGCACAAATTCCAGAGCAGTCTAAGTAACTAGAACAACCAGTTGTGAGTCTCTGTATGAATCAAAGAAATTGCCCCATGCTCCTTCTTTTGTCCGGGGCACCCTGCA